ACTTCGTGTTCTTCTAGTTCCCAGAACTCCATTCCTGGGCCACATTTTGAATGCCGAGGCAGGCTGATGCTGCGGCCGAGGCAGGCTGAGGCTGAGGCAGGCTGAGGCTGAGGCCGAGGCTGAAGGCAGACTGAGGCTGAGGCTGAAGCAGACTGAGGCTGAGGCTGAGGCAGGCTGAGGCTGAGGCTGAGGCAGGCTGATGCTGAGGCAGGCTGAGGCTGAGGCTGAGGCTGATGCAGGCTGAGGCTGAGGCAGGCTGAGGCTGAGGCCGAGGCTGAAGGCAGACTGAGGCTGAGGCTGAAGCAGGCTGAGGCTGAGGCTGAGGCAGGCTGAGGCTGAGGCAGGCTGAGGCTGAGGCTGAGGCAGGCTGAGGCTGAGGCTGTGACTGCGACTGCCGTTGCCGCTGCGACTGTCATCGCGAATGCGACTACGACTGCGAGAACAGCAGAATTCTACAACTGGATTTTCATCTGAATCTTAAGGGGGATGCTTTCAGATATGCTTCTACACATCGCTGTTAGGTTGCTTTGCCGGGATATTTTTTTTGGACGTGGCCATCGTGAACACCGCGTCCGCCGAGTCCTCCTCATCCCGCCCGAACTGGGAGACCACTGTTTGGCCGCTCGCGTTTGTCAGGGCGTCGCGGACGCATGCTCGGGGGCGCTCCACTTCCCCCGCAGCCTCGAAGTCGCGGAGCGGGCCCACGTCGCTCCCAGACAGTTGCCAAGATGACCCAGTGGTGGCGCGCATGCCCTTCCCAACTCCCAGTTCGTTGCGTTCCCATCTTCGCTGCCGACGTGGGCGACGGCCTGGGCCGCCCCACGATGCATGGCCAGTGGCAGGAGTGCGAGGGCAGCTCAATCGACGCGGTGCGCGCACGTGAACGACGACACCAGGGTGCCGGCGAATCAGTGGCCGACCTTGTTTCAACATGTTCTTCTGGCGGCGAACGCATTTATCAAGGGCAAGCCCGCGTCCTACGTCAGCGGCCCCGAGGGGCCGAGCAGCCTCATCGACTTCGACTTCCTTACCCTTGGCTGGGCGCCGCGCATTGCGAAGCGCCGCGCGCGGCGTCGGATCGGCGCCCAGCTTCTGGCCCAACGCGGCCGACCTTCACGCGGCCGCGGTCCAGTTTACCCAGGGATTCTTTATCCAGGAGGGCCCCAGGAATGTGGCGAGTCGCAGACGCCGCCCAGGTGGGGCACGTCTGCTTCTTGGCAGCAGTCAAGACGGGCGAGCAGCGCATGAATTTCGCGAATGGCGTCGCCAGCTGGCTGGCCGACCACTCCGAGGATCTGGCCCTCGCCCGCGACCGGGGCGCGCCCGCCGACGCCGTCGAGCTGCTAGAGCGCTGCCTGGTCGAGGCCGGCGCAGAGTATTTCACGCAGCCAACCGACTTTCCCGACGAGCGCGCGCGCTGGGCCAAGCAGAGGAGCGACATGCCCCAGAAGAGGATCGAGCTTCGCGCCTCGCGCACTCGCGCCTCGGACCTGGATCAGGTAGAGAACGACCTACGCGAGTTGTCTAGAGAACGACCTACGACATCGTCTACAGCGCAGAAATCATGTTCGTGCTGTCCGCGGGTCTCGCATCCAGGCATCCTGCGCGGCGTGGCCCGTCGCGACTTCTGCGAGGCAATGGGCTGGGCTCGTCGGTCTGCCAGATGTCGCGTTTCGCGTTGAATGAAAGGGATGGGCGTTGGCTCGGAGGCGCGCCCATCTCGCAGTCGGCCTGGCCGGGCGCCCGACGCCCCAGCGTTGGAACGTTAGCAAAGAGTGCGCTTCATACGAGTCGGCCCAGCCAGGTCCCAGGGGGAAGGGCGGTCCACGCATTGCCTGTGGCTGGCAAAGATTTTCTCGCGGATTCGTTACCGAGCGATTTTTTTCCCCCCCGGGGGGGTGGGTTCAGCGTCATCGTCGTCGAGAGGGGGGGCCATCATGACATCCCAGGTCGTCGGGTGAAGATTGCGAAAGGCGGGGTGGAGCTTTGGGGCCAGTCTCACATATATGAGCGACGCTTCTGGCAGGTCGAGATGGGAGGCCATGCGGCGTCCATTCTTGTTCAGCCTGAACAGGCTGTGCTCCCCAAGAATATATAGCGTGATGCTGTAGTCCTGCCACCTAGTGATGGTGGAGAGCTAGCGGTCAAAACAGGAGTGGGAGGGGTGATGGGGCATCCCTTCATGGTTGTCGCTTTCTCTACGACGCTCAGCCGCGCTGCGCAGATGCGGGCGGAGCCCCTCCGCGGGGCCGACCCCTCTCTTTCGCTTTTACGCGCTGAACGGGGCGGCCAGGCGGCCGACATTAGCTTCTTCATGTATGCCGACGACCTCTACCGCTACGCCCTCGGGGACTCGATGGGGACATCCCTGGTCGAAGTACCGTGCCATTGCGCTTGCCTCGACCCCTTCCTCCGGGGCAACGGGCATGCGCAAATCCGGGGCAATCGGGAGCTGGTGGTTTGGACCGATGGAACTGGGGGCCATGGCGCGCAAGAAGTGGCTTCGCGGGCCCGGGCGGGCCCTCCTCCCAGGCGTGCCCAAGGAGGAGGTGAGATACCTTGGGCTCCATATATCGATGTCCCAGGCGTCCAGTCAGGAGATTACCCGGCGGCATCAGGCAATGCGTTTCGCTGTATGCGGTGTTGGCGGCTTCTGGTCTCTCAGACTCCCCGTGGAAGATCACGCGCTCAACTGTTATGTCTTTGGTTCAGAATTCGGCTTTTTGTGGCCTGGAGGCTTCCTTATCACCGCAGCGCCGCACCATGCCCGCGTTGCGATGCGCGGGCGGGCCAGCTGGGCGACCGAGACAGGGGCAACTCGGGCGTTGGCGTCAAAATGAGCTCTCAGGCATTGGCGCGCGTGTGCGACGCGCGTTGATCTCGGTTCCCGTCGCCTTAGCTGGCGCCTGCAGTGGGCCCAGGGGCCCTTGCCTGACTGCGAGGATCTCTTGGGCCCCATTGCTACACGTCCTGCCCCCCCGCGGGATTCAGCGGTCGATTTCGCCGCTTTCCGTTCTAGTACCTTTCGTTCTCGCTTCGCACTTCCAGAATACACTGAGAAGGCTCCAGAGGCTAACCCAGATGAGCCCGTCAACCCCGAGGGGCCCCAGTTCGTTTGCCAAGTCGAGGGCTGCGGGGAAACGTTTGCAACCAAAAGGGGCGCGTTCTCTACGTGATCCTAGATCCTCGCGTCACGTCTTGACCCCATGTAACACATGCATAGCATGCTGCCGGGAAGTTCTCTGGGACAGGACTTGGGCGGCATTTCATTCAGTGCTAGCTGTGCAGCGGGGACATCGTTGATTCGGCGGGGGTGGGGCACGGTGACCTCTCGAGCCTCCTTCGACATTGCAGTGCTCCCTGCGTGAGCTTGCGGCCTCAGAGTTGGACGATCTACGCCGCCATCTACGCGGCCGTCTCCATGGCCGAGCCCCCCCTCGACAGCGCCGTCGCCTCACTGGCGCCCCGCGCGAAGTCCTGCGCGATGTCAGCGGCGACGGCGGCGACGAGGACGCGGAACTCTTCGGCGCGGTCAGAGCGCGGAGCAGATGAGGCCCGCGCGCCGGCGCCGCCAGCCAACCAGCCAGCCGAAACAGAGGGCAAGAACAAGAAGGGCGACATGCACTGCTGAAGGCAGTCGCCAAGATGCGCCTCAACGACGCGCGCGGGCTGGCGGATCTCGCGGGCACGATGTTCCAGACGTGGGAGATGATGGAAGAGCCGCCGCCCCTGCCCCAGATCATGATCGACTCATGCGCAAAGTGCGACGAAGCCCCAAACATCTTCATGGAGCGACAGATGAACGGAGAAGTGGTCGACTTCATTGCTCGAGTATCACCGCGCGCGCAGATGCGGGCCGCGGCAGGCCTGCGCCTCGTCGACGGCGCGGGCAGCTTTCTAGAAGGCTCCGAGGTGCACCAAGAAAACGATAGGAAGGTGTTCGCGGCTTACTTCCAGACAAACATCGCGAGCAAGACCCTTCAGGAGGTGGCCGAGCGCGCGCTTCGCTTTCGGCTCGCATGCACGAGGCGAGGAAGGGCGAGGCGCAGGGCAGTTCGGGCGCGAAGGAGGGCAGGCTGACGTTTGTCTTTCCGCGCGACGAACCAGGGGGGAGGCGAGGACGTTGCTGCTTCAGTTCCTGAACAACGAGCAGGTGTCCAAGGCGGGGCAGCTTTCGGGGCCAGCCCCGCGCGGGCCTTTCGAGCGCGAGGCAGCGAGGCTCCGCTCGCTGATCGAGAAGGGCGGAGAGAAGGATTGAACCAGGCCAGGAGCGCGGAGAAAGACAGGAGCCGTTCGAGGCACGGCATTCGTGTAAATCGCACTTTGAGTGGCGGAGCGCTTGCAGGTAGCATTCGGCCACCATCTTTAGTGGCCCGAGGAACCATCCCCGACCCAATTCGTGCCATTAGTTTTGATGCATCTTCGAGTCCTGATCTTCACCCAATCCCCGTAGTTGTGCATCCTAAGCGGGCTCCACGGAGGGGGGCGTGTAATAATTCCAAGCACGGTGGACCAGCTTAGCGTCGGTCTCCTTTGACGGCCCCCTTCGCACGCCTGCGCGGCGCCTGGGTTCGCCGTCGCTCGGGGGCAGCGCTGGCTCTGCCAAAGGCCCCCCCCCACGTCCTTTAGATTTGACCCGCTCTCAACACGTTTGGGTCCCGTTGTGTTTTTGGCCAAGTTTGTAGCGTGTGGCTTTGATAAACCCATTTAGATTCCCCGCGTATCGCTCATTGTTCATTGCTCCTCTTCCTCTCTCCTCCTCCTCCTCCTCCTCCTCCTCCTCTTCCTCCTCCTCTTCCTCTCGCCTCCTCCTCCTCCTCCTCCTCCTCCTCCTCCTCCTCGTTCCTCCTCCTCCTCCTCCTCGTCCTCGTCCTCGTCCTCCTCCTCCTCCTCCTCCTCCTCCTCCTCCTCCTCATCGTCCTCCCTCATTGCTCATGGCTGCTGGCCTTGGGTTCAATGGAACTCACGTCCCCTCCGCGCTCGCCGCCGATTTTCGGCAGGAGCGCACCGAAGACGAGTACACCTCCGTGGGCAGCCTGCTCTCCGAGGCAGAGGTGCGCTGGTGGGGAGCGGCGGCCGGCCACGGGGCTCGGCCGGCCTCCTCCTCCTCCTCCTCCTCCTCCTCCTCCTCCTCCGGGCCTCCTCATCCGCCTCCTTCTCCTCACTCCTCCTCGCTCTTCGCTCCTCCTCCTCCTCCTCCTCCTCCTCATCATCATCATCATCAGCATCATCATCAGCAGCAGCATCATCAGCATCATCATCAGCATCGTCATCATCATCATCATCCTCATCATCATCATCATCATCATCATCATCATCATCATCATCATCATCATCATCATCATCATCATCATCATCATCATCATCATCATCATCATCATCATCATCGTCGATGGCGTCGTCGTCGTCCTCGTCGTCGTCGTCCTCCTCCTCCTCCTCCTCCCTCTCGCTGCGCCCCCCCTCCTGGCGGCGGCCGGCCACGGGGCTCGGCCAGCCACGGGGTTCGGTCCTGTCTTGGCCGATCCGCGGGGGGCGACGCGCCTGCCGTGTCAGAGGGCCCCGCACCCCCCTCTTCGAGACAGCAGTGGGGAGGCGGCCTCCTCCTGCCTCCTCCTCCTCTACGCCCCCTTCACTCGGAGGAGCAGGAGAAACGGCGGGGAGGCGGCCTCCTCCTGCCTCCTCCTCCTGCCTCCTCGAGAGCAGTGGGGAGGCGGCCTCCTGCCTCCTCTCCTCCTACGCCTCCTTCACTCGGAGGAGCAGGAGAAACGGGTCCTGAGGCTTTTCGCCGTTCTCGGGCCCTCCACGGGCTCCACGGGCCCCCTGGGCTGCCAGGAAGCGGGGCAGGAGGAAGGTCTCGTCCTGGGGTGGAGGGCCCCAAGGGTCCAGGACCCGTTTCCCTCGGGACCCGTCTCCCCCCACGCTCAGCCTCCGTCGGCGGCGAGCGAGGCCTCTTCGGAGGGTGGCGGGGCTTCTCGGAAGCCCTCGCGCCTTCTGCGGGGCTCCCTGCGTCTAGAAGAACGCTTACAACCATGCTACCAAGTTGTAGCGGCAACCGCTATATCAAGCCAACTGCCTGCGGCAAATCAGCCACCGTGCCGGCAAATCCTCTATGCGGTGACCCTTCGATCAGTCGCAGATTCAGGGATTTTTTTTCCGAAGGCCAGGGGACTCCTGGGCCTTCTGCGCAGGCCCTCCCCCTGTCCCCCCCCCCCGGGGCTCGCCGCCGATCCTCTCCTCCGCCTCTTCCTCCGCCTCCCGTGCACGGCCTTCCTGCTCTCGCCTCCTCCTGCTCTCCGCCCCCCCCCTTCGGAGGAGGGCCCGTCGAGGCAGCGGCGGCCCCTCCCCCGGCAGTGGCTCCTGCCCTCTGGGCCGCCGGGAGGCTCGTCGCCGCCACGGCCAGAGCCGCGTCGAGGCACGGGTCGGGACGGACCCCAGGAGAATTTCCTCCTCCTCCTCCTCCTCCTCCTCCTCCTCCTCCTCCTCCGCCTCCGCCTCCTCCTCCTCCTCCTCCTCCTCCTCCTCCTCCGCCTCCGCCTCCTCCTCCTCCTCCTCCTTCTCCTCCTCCTCCTCCTCCTCCTCCTCCTCCCCTCCCTCACGGACCCCAGGAGAAGTCCTTCTCCTCCTCCTCCTGAACGGATGGGGGCCAGGCGGGAGAGCAGGCATCGTTTCATCTTGCTCTCTCCGATCCATGCCAGCCCCAGTTACTTCCGCCTTCTTGTGCCCTCTCCCAGCTCTGGAGCAGACTTGCCCGCACCCGGGCAGGCGCTCCTGCAAGAGGAGGTGGCGAGCAACCAGGAGGCGGCCGAGGAGGAGATCGCGCTCCTCCAGGAGGTGGATGCCGACGAGAAGGTGGCCGAGGATCATGCGCGAGGGAGAGACACCCGCAATCGCTGGGCTGAGGGAGCCGCCTTCGGCGCCCCCCCAGCGGTGATGACCTGCGCGCGGCATTCGAAATCGGGCGCTGGTCGCAGGTCATCACCGCTGGGGTGTCTTGGTTGACAGTGTAGGCTGTAGGAGATCCAGATCCTAATCTACTTCAGGCGTCTTCCTACTTCAAGAGTCGAACGGTTGTCCCCCTTCTCTCCTCTTGAAGGGGCGGGCGGAAGTCCAATCTATTTCCAACGCCTTCCTATGTGAGATATCATTGTGTTTTCCTCTCTTCCCGTTGGCGTGCACGTCGCTGCTCCGCACGCACGCACGCGCACACGCACACACGCACACACGCACGCACGCACACACGCACGCACTCACCCACGCACCCACGCACCCACGCACCCACGCACCCACGCACACACGCACCCAGGCACCCACGCACCCACGCATCCACGCACCCACGCACCCACGCACTCACGCACCCATCCACCGACCCACCAACCCACCCATCCACACCCAGCCACACCCACCCCCACCCCCACACCCACACCCACACACCCACATCCATCCACACAACCACACACAACACGCACACACACACCACACACACACACCACACACATACTCCGTGTCGATCCGATACCCCGATTCGATGCTTGCTGCGACAGACGGCGCGCCAAAGATGAGGCCGGCCTGCCGGCAGGTGCCCCGCGGATGTTGCTGATCCCTCGCTGGCCCCAGGGACCCACAGAGGCGGCGGCGGCGGTGCTGGGGGCCCTCCAAGATCGGCGAAGACTGAGTCCCAAGAATTCTCATGGCAAGACCTCTTGTCGTGTGTGACTGCAAAGCTGCCCAAACGCCGAGCGAGCGAGCGAGCGAAGAGCCGTGCGGTGTTCAATACGTAAACAGTCAAGGCCATGCGCTGCTAGGGCAGGAAGGTCAGCGTGCAGCGCGGCCGTCAAATGCAAACTTCGTTGCAAATTGATGCCACGTTCGTCCGTCTGCTATGCAATCGACCAGTGCAGAGTCGGATCCAACACCATTGCAAGTCGAATTGTACGAGCCCTTTGTCCACTCATGCCTTGGGTTCCCGGGGTCCCGTCTGACAAACCGTCACAGGTTTCGCGCTCCTGAGTTGGAAGGTTAGCTTCCACAGCACGTCGTTGTCCTTGCAACGCCGACTGAGGAAGGGTACGCGCTCCCGTAGATGGACAAAAAAGTGGAATCCTTGACACCACGCCCCCCGTTCCCCCCAATTTCAAAGTTGGCCTCAAGCATTTGGCAGCACCGGCGTGGGAGGACAAAAAAAGTGGAACCCCCAGGGCCTCCGAGAGGCCGAACCCCACTTTGAAATTGGGGGGAGGGGGGGGGGGGGGCGAATGCGATGCGGCCGAAGACGAAGGGGTTGCACTTTTTTGTCCCCTTACCCTCCCCCGCCGCGAGGAGGAGATGGACGCGGACAGCGACCCCGAGGCGCCTGCGGCCGAGGCGGCCCCTGCGGCCGAGGACCCGAGGGTATAGGGCCCCCGCTTGGACCTGATCGATCCGACTGGATGCCGACTCCCGCTGGCCCGATGTCCGATATCCGATTCCTCCTCCTCCCCCTCCCCCCCCCCCCCCCCCTCCTCCTCCCTCCTCCTCCTCCTCCTCCTCCTCCTCCTCCTCCCCTCCTCCTCCTCCTCCTCCTCCTCCTCCCCCTCCTCCTCCTCCTCCTCCTCCTCCTCCTCCTCCTCCTCCTCCGATATTCTGATGATCCGATGCGGCCCGCTGTCTGCAGGGCACTGCTGTGCCTCCCGGCGCAGCCGGTGCGATTCGGTTCCGACTCCGCGCCAGCGTGCGGCCCGATCCCGACGCGCGCGAGCCGACGCGGATCCGATCTCCCGATTCGAGGCTGACTCATCCTGGAGTCGGGCTAGATCTCCGGCGACATGGATTTGTCTGGCCCTGGGACCATCAAACATTGTCAGGAGGGAAAAAGCACACAGACACAATTCATCGTCGATTCCCCAGAAAATATGAGAACATATGGGAAGTGGGGGGGGGAAGACGAAAGCCCTGAAAATACTGGAAACTATGGGAAATCTATTTGTGTGTATCTATGGAAAAATGGAAACATCTTATGTGTATCTTTTTGTGTGTCCCAGGGCCCCTTCAGAGGGGTCGGGACCAGGGCCGCGCGTTTGAGTGAATCACATCATCGGGTGTCCTGGAGCGCAGCCGCAGTGGGTTCGCGCGGCGTCGACGCGGCGGCGGCGCGGGCGCTCTCAGCCCAGGCCCCCGAGGGATTCCTATTTTCTCGGTCCCGCCGTGCTCACTTCATGTCTGGCCTTCGGGACCGCTCACGGGGCCCCGGCGCGCTGTCCGCCGCCGAGGCCCCCCGACACCTCCCAAAAACCCACGGAGGCGCCCGCGCGCTGCCCCTCGAGGCCCCCCGACGCAACCCACAGAGGGCCCGGCCCACAGAGGCCCCAAGCGCGCCCGCGGAGGCGCCCGCGCGCTGCCCCTCGAGGCCCCCCGACGCAGCCCACTGAGGCCCCCAGCGCGCCCACAGAGGCCCCAGCCCACAGAGGCCCCAAGCGTGCCCACGGAGGCCCCCGCGCGCGCTGCCCACGGAGGCGCCCCAACACAGCTCACAGAGGCCACAGCGCGCTGCCCACCGAGGCCCCCGACGCCGCCCACGGAGGCCCCACCCCACAGAGGCCCCAGCCTGCAAAGGCCCCAGCCCACAGCGCCCCCCCGTTTACAACAACAGTGGTTCCCGCGTGAAACTCGCCCGGGACTTCCTCACGATTGATGCAGGAATCGCGCTCTCGCGTGGGGCGCCCTCGCAATTTGTTCAGACGCCGCGCCCCCGGCACTCAGGAATCACGCTCTCGCTGTGAATTTCGTCAGATTTATGTGGGAATCGCGCTATCGCTCGAGACGTCCTCGCGATTCATGCAGGGCGCACGCTTCAGCAACCCGCCTGCTCGACCTGGCCGCTTGGGCCCGCCCGTCTGGTTCTGCCACGTGTTTTCTGTTCCTCGCCCCCCTTCTGCTATTCTCTCTCGTGCTCCATCCTCCTACTTCCCCCTTGTCCTTTCCTTCCATCCGTCCTCCCTTCCCCTGAGGACGTATCAGGCGGGTACGATCGAAGACGAAAAGGGCGGGTACCGAGGGTTTGCGATATACGTGTTGGCATGGCACGCGAGCAGATAAGAGCGAACAGTCTTGAACTGATTGTTGTTGTTGTTGTTGCTGTTGCCGTTGTTCATGTTATTGTTCCCCCCCTCAGGTCAGGTAACCGCTGCATTCGGTTAGATTAAAGTGCTTCTCCCGGGGCTCGCACCCGGTTTTTCACAAGGGAAAGCGAGGGGTCACCAAATTGTGCCCGTGGCCCCCGGTTTACAACAACGGCTCCCGCCTGATAGTTCATCACAATTCATTCCCAAACCGCGCGGATCGCGCTCCCGCGTGGGAGTTCCTCGCCATTTATTCAGACGCCGCGCCCGCGACCCTCAGGAATCACGCTCTCGCTGTGGATTTCCCTCCGATTTATGTGGGAATCGCGCTATCGTCCGAGACTTCCTCGCGATTCATGTAGGACGCGCTTCGGAAACACGCCTGCTCGACCTGGCTGCTTGGGCCCACCTTCCCGACCCGCCTGTTAGGGTCTACCCGCCTGATTTGCCCGTCTGTTTTTGCCACGTGCTTTCTGGTCCTAGCCCCCTCCTTCTACTTTCCCTCTCTCATGCTCCTTCCTCCTCCCTTCCCCTTGTCCCCTCCTTCCATCCGTCCTTTCTTCCCTTGCCTGAAGGCTGCATGACGTACACGTTGCAGGTAAGAAAGAGATATACCTCCAAGGGGGTACGATCTAAGACGAAGATGGCGGGTATCGAGGGTTTGGGACATAGGTGTTGATTGGCCCGCGAGCAACTACGAGCGAACAGTATTACAATGATTGTTGCTGTTGTTCCCAACTATTTTGTGGTGTTGGGTCCCCGTTTTGAAGAGACAGCGCCCCGTGTTCTCCTCCTTCGTTCCTCCTTCCTCCTCCCTCCCTCCTCCTCCTCCTCCTCATCCTCCTCGCCATCCTCATCCTCCCCTCATTCCCCTCGCCTCATCCTCCTCGCTATCCCCATCCTCCTCCTCATCCTCCAATCATCCCTCCTCATCCTCCTCCTCATCCTCCCTCCTCCTCCTCCTCCTCCCATCCTCCCTCCTCCTCCTCCTCCTCCTCCTCGCCCTCCTCACACGCTTCGTGGCCCCATAGGGAGCTCCACCGACGGCCCCAGTGGCTGCGTTCGCATGCAGTTCCACCCCCATGTCGGCACACCTTAACACGTTTCGTGGCCTCACAGGGGGTTGCACCGAAGGCCCCAGTGGCTGCGTTCGCATGCGGCTCCACTCCCATTTCGTGGGACGTCCTCACAATGTATAGAGGAATCGCGCTCTCGCGGGTGGGATTGATCGCAGCTCATTCGGACGCCGCGCCCTCAACGCTCAGGAATCGCGCTCTCGCAGTGGATTTCGTCAGATTAATGTGGGAATCGCGCTATCGCTCGAGACGTCCTCGCGATTCATGCAGGACGCACGCTTCAGCAACCCGCCTGATCGACCTGGCCTCCTGGGCCCGCCCTCCTTACCCGCCCGCTAGGGTCTCCCCGTCCGATCTGCCCGTCTGGTGCTGCCACGTGCTTTCTGCTCCCAGCCCCCCTCCTGCTAGTCTCTCTCTCGCGTGCTCTATCCTCCGCCCTCCCCCTTGTCCCTTCCTTCCATCCGTCCTCTCTTCCCCTACCTTCGTGGCTGCACGTGATACGTGTTGCAGGTAAGAATATTATACCCCCACGGGGTCCGATCGAAGACGAAGAGGGCGGATACGTGTTGGAATGGCACGCGGGCAGATTAGAGCGAACAGTATTGTTGTTTTTGCTGCTGTTGTTGTTGTTGTTGAACATTATTACTTCTAAAGAATAATTATTGTTGGGACCCCTGGTGCACGACCCCCCCGCCGCGCCTAGGCCGCAGCCTCATTTTCATCATTTTCGTGAGGAAGTCTCAGGCAAAACGGGGGAGTCCGGATCCGGTTGTGTTGTTACGATCGGTTTTCCCTTGCAAAAAATAAGCTAAAGTGGACATTTCTTGTTCTAACATAACCAAACTTCAAGAATCCCTTGCAAAAAATAAGGTAAAGTGGACATTCGCGCGCGCAAGACGAAATCCTTCCAAAACCTTAGTTTTCGTAGCGATTTTAACATAAAAACATCAAAAAACCAATGGTTTTTCAAAAAAAAATTGTCAAAATTTCATCCCGCGCGCTCTTGCGGATTCGTAGGAAACCCAACACTTTTTAAACATTTCTGTCAAACGGGCTTTTGCGAGCAACTTTTTCGAACTTCTGCAACAACGGTTGCGCACCTGCCAGGGCCATCATCCCTGTCAAATAATACCATGCGGGACACATTCGTTTTTTCTTCGCGCGCGCACGCCGTCGTCGTCGGCCGCGGGGCCCTGAATAGTAGCCACGGTCGTCCGCATGCCACGAAGTGAAGTGTCCGAACGTCATAGGGCGGGAAGCTGGGTGTGGGTGGTGGCGAAGAGTCGTTTGGAAATTTGGTAGAGCTTGAACCGGCCCCCCCACAAAGTGGGGGTATTGCCCGCCTCCTATGAAAACCCTGGCACTGGTGAGAACGGAGTGTCCCCACGTGCTAGTAATTGTTGTTGTTGTTGTTGTTGTTGTTGTTGTTGTTGTTGTTGTTGTTGTTGTTGTTGTTGTTGTTGATGCTGTTGTTCACTGTTGTTGTTGCTGCTGTTGCTGTTGCTGTTGCTGCTGCTGTTGTTGTTGTTGCTGCTGCTGCAGTTGTTGTTGTTGTTGTTGCTGATATTGCTGATGTTGGTGAATTCTCACTTCTGAACAATAGTTATTGTTGATCCCCCCTCTCCGGTGCATATTGTTTTTTCTAAATCAAAGTGTGCCCCTCGACACTCACACCCTGTTTTTTGACAGGGAAAGTCTTGATGCTCAAACTGCGCCCCTGGCCCCCGTGTTACAACAACAACGGCTCCCGCCTGAGACTTCCTTACAATTTAGCCAGGACCCCCGCTCCCGCCCGAGACGTCCTCGCATTTTATTAAGGAATCGCGCTCTCGCTTGAGACGTCCTTACAATTTATTCAGGAATCGCTCTCCAGGCGCACTGGAGTCGCGCTCTCGCTGGAGACTTGCTTGCAATTTACTGAAGAATAGCGCCCTTGCGTTGGAATTTCATGTAATTTGCTCAAGCGCCGTGCTCCCGACACCCAGGCACCCAGGAGTCGCGCCCGTTGTGGCCCCATGTGCCTGCCCTTCGTGGCCCCGCTGTCGCCGTTTGTGGCCCCCTCAGTGTCCTACGTAGCCCAGTTGCTACCCTCAGCGGCCCCATCGTTGCCTTCTGTGGCCCCGCATTATCTGCCCTTCGTGGCCCCCGCTCGTTCGCGCCCTTCGTGGCCCCATACGCATTCCCTTCGTGTCCCCGCTGTCGCCCTTCGTGGCCTACTTCGTGTCCTTCGTGGCCCTGCTGTCGTTGTCTCTCGCTCTCGCTTTCGCTCGTCGTCGCCGTCGTCGTCGTCGTCGTCGTCGTGGTCGGTCCCCTGTCCGTCCCCCTTGGGGTCGGGTCGACGGTCCGCGGCCGCCCCGCCGATCAGCGCTGCCGCTGGTCAGGCCGACGGCCCGCGGCCGCCCCGACGCTTGCCGGGGCCCGGCCTGCAGGGAAGAAAAGTATACCCCCATGGGGGTCTGATCGAAAACGAAGAGGGCGGGTATCGAGGGTTTGGGACATACGCGTTATTGGACACTCGAGCAGATAAGGGCGAACAGTCTTAAAATGATTGTTGTTGTTCCTGCTGCTGTTGTTGTTGTCGTTGTTGTTGTCGTTGTTGCTGTTGTCGTTGTAGTTGTAGTTGTCGTTGTCGATGTTGTCGCTGTTGTCGTTGTCGTTGTTGTTGTCGTTGTTTTTGTTGTTGTTGTTGTTGTTGTTGTTGTTGGTGTTGGTGTTGGTGTTGGTGTTGGTGTTGTTGTTGGTGTGGGTGTTGTTGTTGTTGTTGCTGTTGCTGTTGCTGTTGTTGTTGTTGTTGTTGTTGTTGTTGTTGTTGTGGTTGTGGTTGTGGTTGTGGTTGTGGTTGTGGTTGTGGTTGTGGTTGTTGTTGTTGTTGCTGTTGTTGTTGTTGATGTTATTGTTGGTGTTGGTGTTGGTGTTGGTGTTGTTATTGTTGTTCGGGGCCCAGGGGCGCATTCTGAGGGTCAGGACTTGCCCTGGCAAATAACACGGTGCGAGCCCCAGGAGGCAATTGAAAGAGCACCATGGGCACCGGAGGGCGGGGGTCGACAGTTGGAAAATTCCAACGCAGCAGCGCGACAACGCTGACACCATCCGCAGTGCTAAACACCACTTCAGCCACGCGCCCCAGAGCAGCGAATGACCACCCGGCCCCGCTCACACGGATGCTCCATGGTGCCTTTTGCAGATTACGCCTCGGAGGAGCCCGCCGCCCCAGCGGCCGCGGTGCCCGCCGCGGAGGCCGCCCCAGCGGCCGAGGCGGCCGTGGCGGGCAGCTCCGAGGGTGCCCCCTGCCAGCCCCTCGTGGAGGGAGGCCTCCGAGCCTCCCACGTGCGGGGCTCTCCTCCTCGCGCAGCGTCGTCGTCGTCGTCGTCGTCGTCGTCGTCGTCGTCGTCCTCCTCCTCCTCCTCCTCCTCCTCCTCCTCCTCCTCCTCCTCCTCCTCCGTCGTAGCCGTTTTGGCTCAAGATGCTTTGTTCCACAGGGGAACAAGTGGATACCGCTAGTCCGCGGCTAGCCTTCAGTTGTTTCTTGGCCCGATCAGTTCGCCCTGATCCGAGGTCAGTGCCCCGCGCGGTCCTCCTTGTCTTGTGGCTGGCCTCGTTACCCCTGTGGGTTGGCGAGGGACCATGGCGCCTGGAGGTCGTGGAGGAGGCGGCGGCGCGCTCACGCCCGACTGGTACTGCAAGCACTGCAAGTACGAAGGGGGGGCGCGGGTGTGCATGCCACGCATCAAGTTCGGGAGCAAGCGCAGCTGCTTTTCCTGCGGTGGAGACAAGAGTAAGGTGTTCCTTGGCCAGGTCCGTGGAGAAGAGGGTCTGGCACGGCAACGTCAGCAGCGCAGCCCAGCGGCTGCAGGCGGGAACGGAGCCGGCAGCGGGAACTCGACGGCAATGCAGAAGGAGTTGGCGCGACTGCGAGAGGAGGTCAAGAGTCTACGAGTGGCTGCGAAGGCGGGGCGCCCTGCTGAAGGAACGAAGCCTGCTGGAGAAGGTGGAGAGGAAGACGAAGATGAGAAGCATCGGAAGGAGCTGGATGTGCTGGATGACCAGTTGCGAGCGATGCGAGCGATCGAGTCGCCAGTGCAAGAGGTGCTGGACACGATCGAGAGGCTGGAAGTGCAGAAGCAGGCGAAGGTGGACGAGCTGCGGGCCAAGACGCCGCTGCTTACCCAGCTGCTCGGCCTTCAGCGAAAGCACAAAGCAAAGCAGGAGGCCATCGAGAAGCAGGATGCCGCGGTGGCCAAGGCAGAGGAGGCGATCGAGGCGGCGAAGCTGGTGCTCGAGAAGGAGAGGGCAAAGGCGAAGTCGCTGCGCGGAGAGGCGGTGGAGCTGGAGCAGAAGATGTGCGAGCTCACGGCCCAGATACCCACGCCGCCAGACGAGAAGGACACCCCCGTGGCGGAGGGGCCGAGGATCAACCTGGAGGGCCTGGGTGCGCTGCTGCAGGAGCTTGGGGCCTCGGGCGACGTGGCGGAGCGGCTGCTGCAGCACCCGAAGCTGGGGGAGAAGGTGTTCAAGCGTGCTGGCATGGTGCGCCCTGCTCATGAAGGGGCTCCTGGTGGCGCGAGCGGCAGCAGTGAGCCCGACCCTAAGCGGATCGAGGTCGAGGCGGACAACGTGCCGATCGACCAGCTCAGGACCAGTTTCGAGGCAGCAGGCCTGGGCGTCCCCAGCGAGGAGACCGAGCTGCGCGCGATGGCGCAGAAGATGGCGGCGGCGTCAAGGTGGGCCTACAGGGCTTACGAAGGTTTGGGAGCTGAGTGCGGCACTGATGATTGCAAGCACCATGGCAGAAGCTTCCAAGAATGACGATACGAGCGGTAGTTTGGGCACTGCCAAGGGTGTGCTGACCACATGCGGCCGTGGGCTGACGGAGTATCTGGCGGGCAGGCCCATTGGGGACGTCTTCGCAGCGCAGGGGCACAGGGTGAAAGGGGACAGGCTCAACTCGCTGCAGAACCAGGTGCGCGACCTCGGCTACCACGGGCTGCGGGCACCAGGACAGTCTACTGGCGACGGGCCCTTGGGCGTTTCGGGGGGCGTGGCGCTGCTCGCGAAGACGGTGGTCTCGGTGACGGCGCCGCCCTTTGTGCTTGCTCCAAGGATGCTGGCGGGGCATGTGCACTGGGGAGTGAAGGGCGGCATCGTCGTGGTAGTGGTGCACTTGCGGCACACGGTGGGCATGGGCGACGACAATTCGGACACGGCCCACGGGCTGCGCACCTACCTGCGGGCGCTCAATGCGCGCCAGCTGGACTGGGGCGCCATGGGGGACTGGAACATGGAGGTCGACGAGCTGCACGGGCCCTGGTTGGAGGAGGTGCGGGGCATCCCAATTGTGCCACCAGGGCCGACATGCTGGCGAGCGGAGGAGGGCTCGTGTTTGGATTATGTCATTGCGGCGCCCAACTTGGACACAAAGCTGGGCGAGGCGGGGGTCGCTACCGAGGCGGCGCTGCGCCCGCGCTACCCCGTGCGCGTCGATCTGGCCAAGGTGAAGAGGGTCGACCACATTCGGGTGGTGGTCGGGCCGAGGGGCTTCGGGGCCGCCCCACCGATAGGGGCAGCACCGTTCCCCAGGGTCAGGATGTGGGAGGAAGCGTTGCAGATGGTCATCGACGTTGACGACACCAGGGGCCTCGAGTTTGCGTGGGATGCGGCGATGAAGGCGATCGAGGAGGACCTGTGCGACCGTTGGTTTCTGCGGGGCAGGGCGAGGCGTCAGCGCCAGGGACGAGACGGAGAACCTGTGTTCAAGATGGCCCAACCCAAGTGGCAGCCGCCCCGCAAGCGACGGCTTCGCGACCCCAAGGTGAATGCGTACATGGTGGCGGCTCGTTGGGCCAGACACCTGGACAGGTATCGGGGCAGGCTAATCGGGTCGCTGGCGGGCACCAGCAACGTGGACGTGGATAGGGTGGTGGGCCTACTCGGCGAGATACAGAGTTTCTACGACAATGTGGCCAAGGCTGGCTACGCGCGCGAGCGCCTCGACGAGGAGGTGGTGCAGTGGTTCGAGGGCGGCCTCGAGCGGTTGGGCCAGGGCCAATGGGCGACCAAGGCCCAGGCTGTGATCGGGGAGGCGGAGAGGCTGAGGAAGAACTACGGCAAGGAATGCGACAAGGAGTGGAGGGACTGGGCTGCCGAAAGCCTCGAAGGGGGCGCTCGGGCAGCGCATGCCTTCACACGCCTACCCCCAGCAGCTGAGGTGAGGAGGGCCACGGCCCGCGGCAGTCCACGCCAGCTGGGAGAGCGCGGTTTGAAGAGTGGAAAGAGGTGTGGTCGTACCACGAGGCCAAGGTGCTGGACAAGCCACCTGGCTTCGGCGAGTGGACGGAGCTGCCGAGGATGAGGGTTGCACATCTACGGCAAGCAGCGGGGAAGTTCAAGGAAAGGACTGCCGTCGGCCAGACGGGGATTGCGCCGCGGGCGCTCTCGCACCTCAGCGACATGGGCTTGTATGCGCTGTCGGCGCTGTTCAGCAAGTGTGAGAAGATGGGGGAGTGGCCGACCAGCAGGCTCTTCACGGTGCTGGTCCGCCTGCCCAAGGAGAGTGGTGGGTGCAGGCTCACTGCGCTGGTGAACTCGGTGATGCGGCTGTGGGCCAAGGCGAGGTCAACGATTTCGCGGAGCTGGATGGCCCAGGCGGATGCGCCCAACTTGTGGGGCACGGGGGGAGGGGGCAGGACTTCCTCAGCGGCGGCGTTTCACCATAACCTGATGGCGGAGGTCAGCAGCCTCAACGGCGGCCACAGCGTGACGGTTCTACTGGACGCGTGGAAGGTGTTCGACAGCTTGATTGCCGAACGGGTGCTAGGTGAAGCCAGATGTATGGGGCACCCGCTTCGCCTCATGTGGTCGATCCTGAAGTACCACCACGTGCCGAGGAGGCTCAAGGCTTTCGGCTCGTTATCGACGGGCTACACGGCGCATCAGGGCATCCTGGCGGGCTGCTCAAATTCGATGGCTGTGCTGACGGTGGCCACGGCACGGGCGCTCAAGAGGCTCGCCAAGTTCGACGTCATCCCCAGGACGCTGGCGGACGGCACCTCGGTCCAGTGGGCGGGCCAAGACCTGCGGGGCGTGCGGGTGCTATGGGAGGCGGTGCTCAGGTACAAGTACGAGGCGGCGGAGGTTGGGCTGGAGCTGCAGGTGGGCAAGTCGGGGCATGTTGCGTCGTCGAGGCGAGGACAGTCAGCGGCGAAGCCCTTCGCCTCGAAGGTCAAGATCAGCCCCAAGCGGCACATGGGGAACCTCGGCCACGACCTCAACGGCACGAAGGCGCGAAGGACGGTAGCTAAGAGCAGGCTCGAGAAGCTGAGGCCAAGGGTGAGAAGGGCAAGGACATTGAGGAAAGCTGCTGGTGCCAAGGCCGGATGCCTGTGGCAGACGGGCTTGCTGCCTTCCACGGCACATGGAGCTGCAGTGGGAGGCGTGTCGGCGAGTGAGCTGAGCGTGATGCGCTCGGAGGCGGCGAGACTGGTGGGTGACAAAGGGCGAGGAGGCAGCATCACGCTATACCTGGCGAGCCAGCGCAAACCCTACTACGACCCGATCTTAGCTGCCATTGTCGAGCCGGTCATGCAGCATGCCAGGGTGGTCTGGCGCCAGGAGATCAGCTTGGGGGCACTGGAGCGGGCATGGAGAGCGACGCTGGACAAGGTGGAGGCTGGCGACGACAAGCTCACGTGGGCAGGGGCCAGAGGTCCGCTGAAGGTTGTCATCTTGTCGTTCAGGCGTATTGGCTGGTTCATGTTCTCGTCGCTGATGGTCAGGCCAGATGAAGGGCCAGTGATGTCGTTGCTGGCAACCCCACCGATATTTTTTCGCGACCTCCTGAGACAGGGGATCCAGAGGTGGCAGATGAGGCAGATCGCTGCGCACCATGACGCCACGAATTGTTCGTGCGTTGTGAAAAGGGAGGAGGGGCGCTGTGCCTGCCCCAAGACGCCGCCACTGTGGCCGAGAGGCCTGCGTGCATGTGCGGGGGGACGGGGGGCGGCGGTGACTGGGGCGGGGAGGACGGGGGCGCTTCGCAGTCTGTGGGCCGACTCTCTGTGGCCGCGGGCCAAGCTCTTTAAGAAATGCTTATGTGAACGCCAGGGCTGCAGAGCGTGCCCGCGTGGGATGGAGTCCCCTGGGCACGCATTCGTCGAGCGCCCAGCGCTGACACAGCAACTGCTGGACGAGGAAGAGAAGTGTGACCTCGACCCCCAGCTGGCTGCTGCTAGAGATGCGAGGCTCGAGCACGGACCAGTCGGTGAGGGGCGACAGGACACGGAC